CTACAAAATTAGGATCATGTTTTCTAGAGAGATAGGCAGGAAGTTTTTAAAGCACATGTGAATGGAAGAAGCACAGACAGACAGCTGCAGGAACCACTGTTACCTCCACCACACTGACATATGACCACCACAACACTCACAACAGCAAATTCTACAGTTGAAAACAGGTAGTCACTTTCTGCCAGTTTTGATGGAATTACCTTTATGCAACGGCCAAACAAGAACTGAAAGTCACCACAAAATTAACCATAGTAAGGCAAAACTGTTATGGGAGATAAATTTGAACTCAACATACACTGAACATGTCAGTTAAGTGCAACACAGGTTTGCAAAATCAAACCAAAATTTCCTATGCTGCTGTGATCTCTACAAGCTCACGCTTACACTTTTATTCTCTAGATGCTACAATCCACTGTAAAACGGGCTGAAAATATGTATATTTAGTCTTATATACAAAAAGCTAAACAAAGGAAAGCTGGAAAGAGAAAGTTAGGTGCATGTGTTCAACCAATTTCTTCTCGATCTGGAAGGTGCAAAAATCAAAGCTGAAGCTTCAGTGAAAAATATAGATATTGAGATGCAAGCCCAAGGTGAAGTCACTGTAGCTTACCTGATGTGCAATGGTTTGTTGGTATGTTTGCCAGCTTGCTCATAAATTCCACAGTACTCATTCTATACTTCACCACCCCCCCTTCTTATAGAAATTTCCCTTCAACAATAAGCAAAAAAAAAAAAACAAAACATGTGGAGGTAGTCAAAATACGCAGCATTTTTACAGTTAAATTAATGATGGCAAATGCAAAATACTTCAACTAATAACTTGGTTTCATGGCACACACCTAGTTTCATTCATAGAAGTTTGTTTACAGTCACGGTGGAAGCAGACAAGCACCTTATTATATACAACACGACTGAGCATGTATACCTCTTGACACTTTTACTGCTTTCCTTTTGCAATTCTAACCTTGCTCCATAGGTACCACATTCAACAGAAATCTGGCAATTTAAAAATATTTTCCCATGCGAGGTCAACTCACTTAAGAACGATGGTCTTTCATCTGGATTTTGTGCCCAGCCACTTCCTATCAGTCTTAGAATGAGTACTCGATGAGGAATGTCCATTGGTAAACTTTCTTCACTTAAGTCTGGCCGTTGTCCTTGTGACACACTATACATTATCTGCAAGGGGTTTATAACTTCTGTCAAAATAGACATTGTGCAGTCATTAGAAATATATGCAATGTCAGTAGCTTACTACAAAAGGAGTAATTTAGTTGGCATACACAGTATTTATAGTTCACCAAAGTAAGGCTATGTTTCTTTTTTTTTTTTAAAGGATTTTTAATTTATCAAACAACACTGTAATTTAAGCAAAAAAATACAGAAAAAAAGAATCTCATTTGAAAAGAAACACTAAGTGTTCTCCAACAAGCCTGCATGTTGAATCACTGAAAAGTAGTCCCCAAGTATCTAGGTCTTAGATCTAGCCTTTATGTAAAGGTGGAAAAATAAATCAAAGGACAACATGGCCTTACCTTCAAATGGCTGTTTCCTTGACATGATTTCCCACATTATAATTGCATAACTGTTTCAAGCATAAAAAGTAAAAAAGATGTTAATTTAGATCAGCAAAACTTAATAACACAATGTGTTCAGCTTTACATTTTATTAAAAACGTTTATCTGAAAGGACTCTGTGTGCACACATTGGACTGAACATAGCTCACTACAATGATGATCTGAATAGGTGAGGTCTAGATTGAATATTAGGAAGAATTTCTTTACTGAAAGAGTGGTGAGGCACTGGAACAGACTGTCCAGGGAAGTGGTAGTCACCACCCCTGGAGGTGTTAAACAAATGTGTGGCCATGATACTTTGGGACATGGTTTAGTGGTCATGGTAGGACAAAGACAACATTTTCCTACATCACTAAGAAGTACCAAATCTTGAATAAAGGTTACATTTAACCGCCTCTAAGCATTATATCGTCTACCAGCTACAAAGTAGGAAACATCAAAACAAATAAGTGAGAACAAAACTGAAGCATAAAATTAATAATTTAAATTGAGCTTTCCTGACTACTTGTTCCATTCACATTTTACCATTCATCAATGTTAACATTTATTCAAGTAACTTTTAATGAAAGCAGATTTCCCTGTTCAAATGCTTGCTTTTGATGTATTCCTGAGAAATTCAAGCAAGCTGATTTTTTTTTTTTTTGGCATAGCAAATTGTTCCTTTTGTATAAGTTAATGCTGCTGGACTGTTGTTTAAACAATTTGCTTCTTTACAGAAGATCCTTCCTCACAAATTAGCTTCAATATCTCAACAACATTCATCTGTATCTGCTGTGAGAAATTAGTTAGACATCTAGCCTTTCATGCAGTTTGAAATCTCTCTACAATTAAATATTATTGTCTGAATTCTACGACACCGCAGCATACCACTTCCTGCCGATTCCTCTTTACTCATATTTTCCTTTCCTCTTCCTGCTTTAATGCATCTCCTTCTGATCTTGAGCACACATGTTCCTGTGTAACCTTTCTGATGGTCATTGACTCCACTGTCTTTCTACCTTCATGTCTTTTTGCTTTGAACTGCCATCCCGTTCCATGATGTTGTCTCAGTTTCTTTTCTCTCTTCTCAAATAACTTCTCCCTTTCCTAATCTACCATTTTTTCTAAGCTGTTCTACTGATTTTTTCTCTCTTATTTTCTCCCATTTGGTGGTTACTCCTCTGCACACATCTTTTTTTTTTTGTTTCTGAAAAGCTTTTGTTGTCTTCATCTCCACTCATAAAGCCACCACCCACACTTTCAAAAATCTCTAAAATCAGAAGCCATGAGATAATGTCACACTGCTACTTTTTTCCCCACAATACATCATTATTCCTTTTTCATGTCTTTCTTGTCTGGATTTTCTCATCAAAAGGTGAGCAAAGCAGATATGCCACCATCTCTGTTCTTTGGACAGGAATGTCAAGGAACTTCATGTGGCACTTAAGGGTAAGGGATAATGATCCCAGTCTACCTGATGCAAACCTACCTGAACTTTTCATAAGGTGCATTATTCCTTAAGGAGATTTCTCTAAGCACTTCCTCCAACCCTGTTACTGTGTTTCTTCCTAACCCCTTTCCAAAAATATGTTTTCTTCTTTCCCTCGAGTACATTCTGCAAATTATGTTAACTGATGTGCACAAATTACAAGGATATATATACATTGAGATAAAGGTGTGAACAGGTTTCTCCCTCCCTACATTGTCTCTATATCCACATTTACCTACAGAAACTAGTTTCCTCTGTCTGGTTTTGTAGTTTTAGCTTAATTTCTGGAGTATTACACTTGTCAAAATGTTTCCAAAAGAAACAGGTGATCAAATCCAGCTACTGCTCAATTCTAATTTCCTGTTTCATTTTCCTTATACACTTATGACACTTCTGAAAATAATACCATTGCTGAAAATATATTCAAGTCCAAGTTCAGTAAATCAAATTTGAATTCAGATTGCCAGGCCTTCTTGAAAACAACATGAGTTACCTGTAGATATCGTGTTTTACACTTGCACGGGTTTTCTGACTGGGATTGTATTCTTCAGGTGGCATGTAGATAATTGTCCCTCCTTCTGGCAAAGAGGTTTCACTTCGTGATTGCGACATGGATATGACACGCCATTTTGACATGCCAAAATCTGCAATCTGAAAAGGACAGATCAGTTGTTCTGAGACGAAAAACTGGATTTATCTGCTGATTGTTGTTAGGAATTCCTAAAACTTGTCCAAAAGAACAGGTCACTTCAAGTCCTTAATCTGACACACAAAAAGTACGTGGTTGTCCTAGCAACAGGAAACACCAGCTCCAGTTCAGAAAGCATTCCCAGGGCATGACTCATGCTATCCCTATAGCATTGCCTTATCCTGTTTTAAAAATGGACTCATGCAGTCTGTGGTTGGGGAATCTGCTATGGAAGTCTGTCCTGTATGAACAAAATCACTTTCTTCAGTTAAAAAAAGCAAACAGAAAACCACTGAATACTTTTAACTCCCTGGGTGTGAAGAAAGTCCAAATTTAGTATAACAGCTCTACATAACTTAGCTTACAGATATCTGTTGTTTGTCACAATATCCTCAAACAGTTGCTTACAGAAAAATTTTAGGGCACTCCACCTCACCCTTAACACTATGAAATATTAATCTTGAATTAATAGGGTTTATATTCTGAAATTTTGTGCTGAAAAAAAGCTGCTGAATTGAACAACACAGTTTTTTACTGTGTGCCCCAGGGTCTTGTCTCTTCCCACAGTTTACAGTACATGTGTATAAAGAATTAATGGACTTCAGTTTACATTACCAGACATCCACAAGCCAGGAAGGTTATGGGCAGGGAGAAAAACAGCCAGCAGAACCAGCTTGCTGGCTGAACTGTAGAGCGTCTGGCATACAGTGGAGAAAGATAAGCAGCCAGCCACGAGTTCTGTGCTTGTTCAGCATTTGCATAACAGCAGAAACATTTTCAGCAATGATGCTTGAGCAGGCACTGTGGCAACTAAGATAACAGAAATAAGCTTTCTGGAAAGAATACTGTCAAAATCCACAGTGAAAAATAACCTTTTTTTCTCTACAACTCACTCTCATCAGGTCTTCTTCACTGTACCTGGTCGCATTGTCCTGCTCATTCAGTAGTTCTGGGACAGCCAGAAGCACGCTATGAATGATGTTACGTTTATACATATGCAACACCTCTTTGGCATGAATGATAACGCTCCTCCAATTTCCTGCTAGCTGTCCTAATACAAAGAATCTTGCTTCACCCCCAAAAAAAACACTTAAAAACCTTAAGGACAGTCTTCCAGAGATTTCTTACAGGAAGCAGGGCAGGTATGCGAGAGTTAACACCTTCCCTTCAATTGCTCCACCAAAGCAACTGTTCAGATGTAGTCAGGCAAAGCACCAGACCACATCAATACTGTTAGGGATTAAAAGAAGAGTGGATAAAAAAAATTACTTGGACTAGTTCCCCAATCAGGTTTATCAGGAAGCTGGAGCGATGGCAATACCAGCACAACCGAGTGGGAGGAGGTATGACCTGCGGAGGGTGTGAGCAGACAAAGCTGCACAAGGCACCCTGCTGCCAAGAAAAACATCTTTGCAACTGAGAAAGGCAAAATCAGCACTGGATCTTTTCAGCTATCAACTGAAGAATTTGCCGTTCAAGTATAAATTAAGTGCATAGTACCTACTATTTCTCATTCACTTGCATAGTATTGTATTGTTTCAATTTTAAATACAGGATCTTTTACAAAAAAAACCTTCAGCTCTTGCCATTATGGAAGTACCTACGAATTTTGTCAGAAGTACTTTTAGTCTTTTTCATATCATGGCAGTGACATTTTAAAAGGCAGAAATAAATATTTAAGCTAATGTTACTCCTCTATGTATTTGCTTGCTCTAAGGAGCTTCACAACAGGCATCTTCTAACACGTTCAGATTTTGCAGTTATGTGTTATGTGTTCTTATACTACAGTGAGAGAACATACATGTACATATTGCATGATAAATATAAAATGGACAATTAACATTTGGATTTGACCTACTGTCCTCCAGAAGTAACTGTCTGAATATCTCGAACAGGACCACTTTCTTTTTTCTTCACAGAAAGGATCAGCTGTAGCTGCCCTTGAAAAACTGCCATACAAGAGTGTCACTACTATTGAGTACGAGCTACTGCTATAGCAGAAACAGTCCGAATTCTGGCTTTCTGGCCTTTTCAGATGGATCAAGTCCACACTTGAGCAAAGTAGAATTTTCAAAAGAAACTCAAAAGTTCTGTCTACTAGGACAGAACAAAATGTCTGGCATACAATTACATCTCCTCTGTATGGCCACATCCTCACCCTTCTGCCTCTACAATAATTAAAACACTTTTGCTCTACTCTGGATGCTGAAGAACATGAGAATTAAATAACCCTACCTTGACATGAAATTCATCATCCAGCAAAATATTCTGGGTTTTCAAGTCATGATGCAGCAATGGAGGATTCATGTTGTGCAAATAGTTCACTCCCAAAGCAATTTCATAAAGAATGCGGAATCTCAGGCACCAAGGAATGTCAGGATACACATCTTTCTGCCAAGATAAAACCACAAAACCAGAATATAATCCTCTTATCTAACAGCACAACACAAAGACTTTTGTTCTAAGAAGAAAGTGATCTGGACAAGTAGTAATCTTTTAAAACATACATTACATGAACTCCTTAAAAAATTGTAACTCAGTAGTGACCAGTTAGCTGTTAAAATAAATATATAAATGTTAATCATGCAGTGTTATGCTTCCATTCCCTAGCATTCACTTAATAGCTCATAACTGCTCTACATGATGCAGGACATTTACCACATTACCCATTCATAGGGAAATATGATGTGCAGATGGACTGTGTGAAACTTGCAACCCACAGATTACGAGTACTACACAAAGGAAGGCAAGAATCCTATCTTCAGCTGGCACTGGGGGAAACTAAACACAAAATATTACCTTTATAAATATTACTATGCCAAGAAAAAGGCACTAAAACTCAATTGAAATCTTAAAAGTTATGTTGCCACAAATGCCTTTATGAAAAACACACAGCTGAGCTCTCTAAGGCATGAGGCATGTATTAACTAAAGGAACAGAGGGGGCTGCAGTGCTGCTGAGACACAGCTGCAGTAGCTTTACAGTAGCAACACTGGGTGCTCAGACCAAGCTAATGGGAGCAGCTTGTGGGAGCTCAACACAGAACTTACTCCTGAAAGTCTTTTCCAACCCAAACAATTCTATGATTCTATTGTATGATTCTGAGAGTAAGACCTGGCAGAAATATCCATATCTGTTTAGATTACCAATATTTTACTTCTATAAACAAAAGTTAACACCTTCATTTAAAAAAAAATACATATTCAAATTCAGGAAAAACTACTCATCTATGTATGATATTTACATTGGCAATAATTCTGAAACCTAGACTGAAGTAAGCATTAGTGTTTCAGCTTCTCATTAGAAAACAGAGATATTTAAAGCGGTTGTATATAATAGTTCAACATGAAGGTCACAATATTGAGTGAAAAAGTGTAATAAAACTAAAATTCACTGAGCTTGGTTATGGTTTTGGGATACAGAAAGTCTATCTGAGCACCAGAGACTACTAGTGATAATGATTGTACCTTAATTTGAATTATTGTTAATAATACATTTTACTATACTACTTCCCTTAAGTATGGAAATCACAATCTATTTGAAACAACCAGGGATTGCATGTAAAGACTGTAAGTACACTTACCCCATGTAAAAGCTGGTTTAATGACCCATTTGTCATGTATTCTGTCACTATCCCCAGAAATTCAGGCTCGTTGCAAATTCCCAAAATCGGCAGAATGTAACTAAACCTGGCTTTGTGTAATATCTCTGCCTCCTTCAGAAGGTGGTTTCTATCACTTATAGAAAGCAAACAAACAAAAAAGCATTACTACTTGTACTAATACTAGGAAACTCAAAGCAAATGTTGGGTTCATTATATTCTCTTTTTAAAATGATGTATCTATATGAAGCACCAACACCTTTCACCATTTGATACCTTCTATGCTGTTTTGATAACAAGATACTGTAAGACACATTAGAATCTGGAAATGTAAATACAAGACAGTTTTATTGTACCACACACGTCTCTTTACTTTCATCACACATTTCATCCATGCTTCCAGTAAACAAGAATACAGTCAGATCTCAGACCTTCTCTATCCTGTGTAACTGTAACAGTAGTAACCGGCTACACTGGTCCTACTTTACTGCCTATCTTCAAGCCTCGAGTTTTCACCAACGCCAAGTATTAATCTCCTGCAGATTTTAATATTCACAGTTCTCCAAGCATTTCAATTTAGTGGACACTGACATGCATTTAAATAGTATCGGTTAAAGGAATGCATTTTCAATTTCTGATGGAAAAGGAATGACCAACTATGTTTTGTTTTCATATAAATTCTTCCTTCAAACTGGGCCTCTGCTTTCAATCACCCTCTGGAAAAGACGTTTCCTGGTTGCACAGGAAGGAGGAAGGGACCAGGCTCATGATGTTGGGATGCCTGACTCTGTCTGTGTGAATGTTTTCTGTTATGTCAAACCTGCTCATAAATGTAAATTTGATGCATCTTTACAAATTCAGACCTTGCAGCTTATCAATTCAAGAAACTCAAGTTTTGTTTAAGATTGAGTATGCTTCTATCCCTAAAAACTATAAACTATTTGATATGCCCTTATATCTCAAATGTTCTTGAAAAACAAAAGGGTTTGTTGACAGTGAGGATACTCAGACCAAGAAGGTTAATTCTAAGAAAAAAAGATTTAGACTTTATACGAGTGGAGATTGGTACAGGTACAACCATGTGACTAGGATATCCAAGTGCGGGACTTTCACAGCACATCTAAGACTAATCCTTTGGAGCTGAGCCAGTCTGATTCAGAAGCAATTGAGCTGTGCCAGGACATGGCTGTGTACAAGCCAGGGCTGTGCCCAGGATGATCTGCTCAGCACAGTGCCATGTTTGTGTGGCTCTACGGCTCCCCAGGGAGAGCTGGTTTGCATCCCTCAAGCCCAGGGCATCCACTGAGGAGCTCATGTTAGTCTGAACCCATCAGTGTGGATTGAGCCGCCACAAAAAAAAGGCCATCAGAGTATATGGGGCAAAGAGGAAGCCTGAAAAACTAATGCCTTCTGCTTTTATGACAGGAAAACCTTGAATTTAGATAGACATGAAATGAAAAGCAATTTTTGGTCCTTATTATGTGATGGAAAGAGGCTTCTCTTATGGGAAACTCTAGGAAATTGAAAAAGTAAAAAGGCAGCCTTCAAAACCAGCATGGGACAAAAGACACAACTCACTCCCTTCCTCCCCCCCTCCAGAGAAGCATAGGTTTGAGAAAGCTAGGGGTTTTCCCAAACTGTGAGGCACAACTGCATGGGAATGAGCTGCAGCCGGGAAATGAATTGCAACATACAGAGGTTTATTCCTGGGTCTGTAAATCACTTCACCTCTGTCTGCTCCATACCAGAAGGGCATTGAGTAATGCCTAAACTAGTACAAGCCCACAATAGCTTCCCAGCTGGCTTTGCTCTTCAGCTGGTCACACACCAAGTTCTGGGATACACAGTGCAGGATTCCTGTTTGGGGAATTAACTGCACTATAAACGCTCCCTTTTTCTTGACAGCATTTACAGGGTGACATTTTATGCTGCCTACTGTACAAGAGATATATCACTTGCTGCAGAGACTTCTTCGAGCTTTCAGTCTTCTGAAAGCATTTGCAAGCTTTGCATGATATGAGGTAGGTGGCTGAATTATTTTGATTGCCTCAGTTGCCTTTTACATCATAATTTAATGAGTTACATGTCATACTAATCTAAATTCTTGCAAGGTTAAAAATAATACTTGCTGTTTCCTCCCAGCTGAGTTCAGAGAATAAACATTGTATTCCTGATTTAACCAGACATTTAAATTAAAAAAACCCCCTCCAATAACAGATGTCAGAGAACACAATATTCCTGCTTAAAAACATAACTGAGATTTCATTTTGTTTTGGCAAGATTTCAGAGATAAAGCCTGTGTATACACACCTGGGAAATAAGAGGTGAGATAGTTTAAACCAGCTTATTTTATATTCTAGCAAATAGTGTCACAATGCTAGGAGCCTTGATATTTTGAGTGAAGCTATTCTGTCTAAATATCTAATACTGGATCAAAGAAACCCAAGGCAGTAAGACACTTAGTTAAGACACAAGAGGCAGGTTTACAGTCAAATAGGGTAAGAAGAGGCAAATTAGCATTAAAAGGATAAAAAAATTGGGACTACAGGGAATGAATGAGGCAGAGATGGATGAAAAAGTTACCTGCTGCCCTTTTACATGTAGTGACAGCTCCTCTGACAAACACACTGTCACCTTGGCCCCAGGAAAATGGGGAACACAATAGCCACACGTGAAGAGTTAATGGAAAATATCAGTTGTATATGGAAGCCTACAAGCCTATTATTTTAAATTAGCTTCTCTCAGTACTGTGAGATCTGGGAAAAAAAAAAAAAATCAATTGTGCATAGTCTTGGAGAAGATTCTCCTAGTAGCTAGAAGTGATCTCAGCCATGTCTAAGAAGTACAGTAATATATTCCTTATATTCTGTCTTTCTCTGTAAAAACCAAACCTATAGTCGTCACTGTAGTCCAGCAACACGTTTAGCAACCAACAGACCCAGAAAGAAGCAGAAATGTGCAAATCCCATATTCAAGCGTAACCAAGGTGCACACTGCAGAAGAAAAAACCTTCAAGAAGCACCTGGCTCGTGCCTCCCACGCCGAAACTGAAACCACCCATTTTCAATAACCCAAAGAGAGGAAGCTCCGCGGGCCAGGCGGTACTTTCTGATGGCTGAAACGGAATCACTGCTCGCGGGCTCTCCCTTGCCCTTGAAGCGAAGGCACCGCTGCCCACCAAGCCGCCCACTCTCATCCCTCAAGCTGAGGAACCCACGCCCGCCCTTCGCCGCGGCAGCGCGACCGACGCCACGGGCCCCAGCCCCTGTGGCCGCTTTACCCACCGACGGGACGCACTCACGGGGTGCCCCGGGCAGCGTGGGACCCCTGTCTTACTTTCGGGTGAAGG